ACTGAGCCACTCAGGTGCCCCTAAAACTTGTTTTTGATCAACCATGCAAGAGGAGAGACAGAATCATCTCTCCATTTTCACTGGAGAATTTTACTTTTAAGATTCACGGACAATTTTACTTCTTCACCTTCCTTCTTGTCCTGAAAATTTCAGTCCTAAAACTATTAAGCAGAGCAGAACAGGAGGGAAGCATGTGACCGAGGGGGAGGGAACCACTGTGGCCCAGAGCAAAGGTCAGAGCCCCAGCAGGGTAAAGAGGGTGTCCACATGGCATGGGGTCCAGCAAAGTGAAGAAGGTGTCACTGAGTGGGAGGGGGCATCCTGACACAAGGTATTAGAGCCCAAGTAGGGTGAGGAGGGCATTTCATAGGGGTGGAGTCGTGGCAAAGATGGGAGATTGGTTAGAAATAGGGGTTGATCCAAAAAGCAAACGAATTCAGAATAACGGAAGCCAGATTTCTCGGTGTTGAGGAAGGGAGGTATAAATATAGAAAGGGGGTACCTAGAATGAACCCCCGCATATGGATTAGAATTTCAGGTGATAGTCTGAACTAAAAATTTTTTTTAGTATGTATAAATAGATATAGAAATAAATGTAAACTGGGGGCATGCCTGGGTGGCTCAATCGGTTAAGCATCTGCCTTCAGCTCAGGTCATGATCCCGAGGTCCTGGGATCGAGTCCCGCATGAGCAAGGAGCCTGCTTCTCTCTCTGTCTCCCACTCCCCTCTGTTTGTGTGCATTCTCTCTCTCTCTCTCACCAAATAAATAAATAAAATATTTCAAAAAAATATATAACTGTAAATTGCGCGCACGTATGTGTGTGTGTTTAGACTCCTTAACTCTGGAAGGGCCTGGGAAGAGTGACACTTTCATAACAGTGAGTAGGTCTTGGTTTCTAATTATCAGCCTGGCACCCAGATCACGGTTTTTAAATACTACACACCATTAAAAATTGAATCAGAGATTCTTGGATTACTGGTCGATTCCAGGGGCTTGAAAAGAGGTATCTTCTTATATCAGAAAACAAAAGATGGTCAAAGAATGATGGGGCATGTCAAAGGGACAGACTCCAGCTTAAAGAAGCTCCCATTGGACTAATCTGTGACAATCTGAGCATTAAAAAATAATGATAATAATAGATTACAAGCTATTAAACAAAATAGGAGACCATGAGTTCATAACTAAATACACATATATAGGGGCGCCTGGGTGGCTCAGTTAGTTAAGCATCTGCCTTTGGCTCAGGTTGTGATCCCAGGGTCCCAGGATCCCTCCCCACATTGGGCTCCCTGCCCAATGGGGAGTCTGCTTCTCCCTCTCCCTCTGCTCCTCTCCCTGCTCATGTTCTCTCCCTAGCTCACTCAAACAAATAAAATCTTTGAAAAATAATAAATAAATAAATAAATAAATAAATAATACGTTCAAACTTGGAGACGGTATACCCAGGGACGCCTGGGTGGCTCAGTCCTTAAGTGTCTGCCTTTGGCTCGGGTCGTGATCCCAGGGTCCTGGGATCAAGCCCTGCATCAAGCTCACTACTTAGCGGGAAGTCTGCTTCTCCCTCTCCCACTCCTCCTCCGTGTGTTCTCTCTCTCACTGTCTCTCTCTATATACCAAAATGAATAAAATATTTCTTTTAAAAAGGTATATCTGCATAGTTTCAAAATACCTCCTCACAAACTACCAATTCCTTATAAAGGGAAAAGAGTAAGTAAGTGGAGGAGCCTAGCAGACATCAAGTGACCAGAGTGAAACACGGGACAGATGGAAATGGGTGCTACCTAATAAAATGTATCAAAAGAACACAACAGTGGGGCACCTGGGTGGCTCATCGGTTGAGCATCTGACTCTTGATTTCAGCTCAGGTCATGAGCTCATGGTCATGAGATCAAGCCCCATGTTGGGCTCCACACAGTGCAGAGTCGGCTTGTCCCTCACCTCTGCTCTCCCCCCACCCACTTTCTCTCTCTCTCTCAAATAAATAAGATGTTTAAAAACTAAAAAAAAAATGGGGCACCTCGGGGGCTGAGTCGGTAGGCCTCTGGCTCTTGGTATCAACTCAGGTCATGATCCCATGGGTAGTGAGATCAAGCCCCACGGTTGGGGGAGGCCCTCCACTCGCGGCAGAGGGTCTGCTTGAAGATTCTCTCTGCCACCCTCCGAATAAATAAATACATCTTTTAAAAAAATTTTAAGATTTTATTTATTTATTTATTTATTTATTTATTTGACACAGAGAGAGAGAGAGAGACAGAGATCACAAGTAGGCAGAGAGGCAGGCAGAGAGAGAGGGGGAAGCAGGCTCCCGGCTGAGCAGAGAGTCTGATGCGGGGCACCATCCCAGGACCCTGAGATCATGACCTGAGCTGAAGGCAGAGGCTTAACCCACTGAGCCACCCAGGCACTCTGTAGAGGAATGTTCTTAAACGCAGGAATTACATACTCAAGTATTTGAAAGCAATGGGCAGCGGGTTGGCAATTTACTCTCAAATGGTTCAAGTTGTAAAAAGTTCCCTGTACTGTACTTGCAACCTTTCTGTGTTTGTGATGGTTTCAAAATAAATCTCATGTGAAGAGGCAAGCAAAAACGTGCAGCTAAAACAAATAGGCAAATATCATCAATAATTAATCAAAGTATTTTGATTTTCAGTCAGCTTATTTTAGTTTGTGATTGGTCATGATTTGTTTGGTCATTTTATTTTCTTTATTTTTAAAGGTTTTATTTATTTACTTGACAGAGAGGAGAGCACAAGTAGGCAGAGCCGCAGACAGAGAGGGAGAAGCAGGCTCCCCGCTGAGCAGGGAGCCAGACTCGGGATTTGATTCCAGGACCCTGGGATCATGACCTGAGCCGAAGGCAGACGTTTAACCGACTGACCCATCCAGGTGTCCCCTATTTTATTTTAAAGATATATTTTTTTGAAGGGCGCCTGGGTGACCCAGTGGGTTAAGCCTCTGCCTTCAGCTCAGGTCATGATCTCAGGGTCTTGGGATCGAGTCCTGCATCGGGCTCTCTGCTTGGGTGGGGGGGAGCCTGCTTCCTCCTCTCTCTCTCTCTGCCTGCCTCTCTGCCTACTTGTGGTCTCTCTCTCTGTCAAATAAATAAATAAATAATCTTAAAAAAAAAAGTTTTTTTTTAATTTTTAAGTAATCTCAACACCCAACATGCAGCTTGAACTCTCTGTCCCAAGATCAAGAATCAACCTGCTCTACCAGCTGAGCTAGCCATGTGGCCCCCACCTCCATTTTCTCATTTTAAATATTCACTTTCATTCCTGATTTTCTATTCCTGAAGAGGGAACCGCCAAATTGTATAAGTGTCAGGCCCCATAAAACTGCTATCCACTATTGGCCTTTCTTGTGTCTTTTGAAGATGAGGCAACTGAGGCACAAAAATATGAAGTGACTTGCCTAATGGTCATTAAGTGATAAAGCAGAATTTGAACCCAGGCAGGACGACTCCGGAGTCTCCGTAGAGGGAACTCCGAAGACTCAGGGAGATAAAAAGATGTGAGAGAACTTCGAAAGTGGAAGGATTAAGATCATTCACAATCAAATGAAAGATGCACATGTGTTTGTCTGCTGGGCCTTGGTTCCTTCAGGCAGAGGAGAGGGAGGAGGAAAGTCCTCTCACCCTATGCCAGAGACTGCTTGGCATTTCAAGTCCAAGACCTCACTTTGTTATTGTCCCAGATGAAGCACCTGAGGCCCACAGGGATCAGCCCAAGGTCACACACCTGGAAGATGATAGAGCCAGGAGCCAGTGCCAAGGGTGGTGATGGCTGCCCTGACAGTGTGCTAGCAGAAGGCTTGCCAAGCTGGGCTTGCCAAGGTCCATGGACACAACACAGCCGAGGACCTTCCCACCCTCTCTCACACCCCATGCCCCACCACCCAGAGACAGACGCCCAGGACAGATTTGCCATGTGGCTGGCGGCAGCGCGACGTGATTGCCCAGATGATAAGTAGGCAACGTCTATAGACCAGGCAGCTTCAAGGTGGGGACCCAGGTGGCCACTAGCTCTGGGAAACTTGGGTCACACAGCTTGGGCCGCACCACTAGGCCAGTGGGTCTAGGGGAACAAACAAGGACTTTAGAGTCAGATAGATCTGGGCTCTGGTTCTTCTTAGTGGTGACCTTGGGCAAGTCACTTCACCTCTTTGAGTTTCAAAAAGTAAGAATCTTGTCTCCTGGGGAAGCTCTAAGGATTAGAATGGGAAGGGCATACAGTAGGCTCTCAGTAAATAGCAGCCGTTCTTCATTAGCATTCTGCTAGGACTTCTGAGCAGATACAGCCTTTCAGGAACTTTCGGAATCCAAGCTGAGGAGAGAAAGTTCTTAAGGACCTTATTTCTGCAGGGCCCCCAGAACTGGAGTCAGGGGAGGGAGGCCTCCTAGCCTGCACAGTGGGCAAAGTCCTCTCAGCCCCCCAGGGTCCTGGCTCCCTTCCCGATAGCCTGTTCCTTACCAACAACAGGAGCAAAGCCCCAAGGTTAGGCAAACAAGTCAGTGATAAGGCACTTCCAGGTTGGGCCTTGCATTCAAGGTTCATCCAGCTCCGGGGCTGGCTTCCAAGCTTAGCGAGGGTCCTGCAAGCACCAATAGGGACACCTGCGATGGCCACCTGCTGATTGTGCTCCTGAGGCCTTGGTGCCCTGGTACAGCCCGGGTTAATGACCCTGTTTATCCACTTGAGTCATCCGATAAGGGGCAGTGCGGCGGGCGGGCAGGCCGCCCTGTGTCCTGCACAGGCTGCTTCATTGACTGAGGCAGTATCAGCGCCACGTGGAACTCCCAAAGCCTCCTCCCCTGCCACTTCCCCACCAATCCTGCAGGCCGATGCGTGTTTCTTTCCTTTTTTTTTTTTTTTTTTTTTTCAATGAACAAGACTTCTGGAGTCAAGGTTGTCAGGCCATCCCCTCCACCCCCACCCACCGTCCCTCCCACTGGGGATATATATAGCACCCAGCGGGGCAGAGCGGAGGGTGGGAGGGCCAGAAGGAAGGAAGAGCAGCTCCCCAACCATGAGCTCCAGCCAGCCAGGGACCTGCCCATGCCAGGGTGCTGCAGGCCGCCCAGCCATTCTGTACGCACTTCTGAGTCCTAGCCTCAGGGCTAGGCCCTCTGTGCCCCCAGCTCGGAATCACTGCCTGTGCAGACAGCATCGGCCCGTCCGGCTGTGCGCTCCGCATCGCACCTGCCGGGAGGCCTTGGATGTTCTGGCCAGGACAGTAGGCTTCCTCAGGAATCTGCCGGCCTTCTGCCAGCTGCCCCCTCAGGATCAGCAGCGGCTGCTGCGGGGCTGCTGGGGCCCCCTCTTCCTGCTGGGGTTGGCCCAAGACACTGTGACTTTCGAGGTGGCCGAGGCCCCGGTCCCCAGCATACTCAAGAAGATCTTGCTGGAGGAGCCCAGTAGCAGCACAGGTGGTGGCCAGCTGCCGGATCGGCCCCAGCCCTCACTGGCGGCGGTGCAGTGGCTTCGGGGCTGCCTGGAGTCCTTCTGGAGCCTGGAGCTGGGCCCCAAGGAATATGCCTTCCTGAAAGAGACCATCCTCTTCAATCCTGGTGAGCTTCCAAACACTCCTGGATGGGGGCCCAGCAAGGGAAGGCGCCTTCTGAGGGCTTGACACCCGTTATCTCTTTGGGTCCTCATTATCGCTGAAAGTCACCTGACAAAAGAGGCTCAGAGAGGTTAAGTGAATTGCTGAAGGTCACACAGCCTCGTAGAGCCAATGCAGAGATGGGAATTCAGGTTTATTCCCTCCAGAGGCTGGTCCTTGCCACTCTGCTTGAGAAACTTGCCCCTGACCCTCTGGGAAGGTGGGCAGACACAGCTGTGCCTCAGCCACAGGTAAAACTCTGTGGGTTCAGAAAGACCCCATAGAGAAGAATGAAAATGTACGATGAAAATTCCTCACCAAAAAGACCTCATGGAATATATAAACTATAGCAACAAATACTAGTGATAGTAATGAATATTCATATTACATTCACCATATGCTAGGCCCAGTTAAAAGGGTTTTGCAGATACTAGCTGATTTAAACTTCATAACATGCCTAGGAGATAGGTGTTATTATCCCCATTTTACAGATGAGGAAACTGAGGCACAGATATTCATTTATCTGAGGTCACGCAGCTAATAAGTGACAGCATGAGATTCAAAAAGGCAGCCTGGCTCTTAACCATTACTCTGGGCTGCCCCATAAAAGGACCAATAAATAAAATAAATAAATGGAAGAGGTAGTAATGGGGCCTCAAAGACAAAACCAGTGAGCTTAGGTCTTGCCTGGGAGTGGGGTACTCAGCCGCCCTCTTCCCCCTCTCTGCCCACAGACGTGCCAGGCCTCCATGCCTCCTCCCACATCGGACACCTGCAGCAAGAGGCTCACCATGCACTGTGGGAGGTCCTGGAGCCCTGCTGCCCCGCTGGCCAAGGCCGCTTGGCCCGTGTCCTCCTCACAGCCTCCACCCTCAAGTCCATCTCACCCAGCCTGCTTGGGGACCTCTTCTTCCGCCCGATCATTGGAGACATTGACATAGCTGGCCTTCTTGAGGACATGCTTTTGCTGAGCCAACCTATTCCAGCTCAGGTTGAGATCAAGTGTAGGTGGGGCAGAGGCTGGCAGCCCTGACTTGGGCCAGATGTCCCCAGGGGTGACCCAGTGTTCCCGGGATGGGGGGCAGTCTGTATAGGCAGGCTTCAGCTCCCCTGGAATAAGCTGGTTGTGGCCCAACAAGATGGGCTCTGGGGCCCCTCCCTCACCACAGCCCCTCTTGGCCTTTCTTCGTTTGACATGGTGCTCCAGCTGTCCGGCCATCCCTTAGTGGTCCTCAGAGCCTCTGGGCCAAGACTCCTGACCTCTCCTGAGATGGGGATGGAAGCTTAGATTGCTCATTGGGACAAGAGTCCTACTGACTTTGTACAGAAGTGATTTAAGTTATTGGTTTTTGTAATAAAAGGCATGACACCCTTGGAGCCTGACCCTGTAATTTGTACATGTGGAAGGGACTGTCCCACCTCCAGGGTCCACCCCACCCCTATCAGAAGGAGTTTGAGAGGAAGGAGCCATAAGGAGCACTGGAGCCAGGCTTCAGGGAACTGGGATATTAGTTTTTCAGGGTGGGAGGATTATTCCATTTGGGGGGAATGAGATTTATTTTGTACAGGCCTGAATCCAGGGGAGAGGACCAGTTCAGGCCTCCTTACTTCCTTGCCTTTATCTTTGGGGGTATCTTTTTCCTATCTCCAAGTACCCCAGTGAACCCTCCCTTGGCTTCTGACCCCTGCAGGCTCCCTCTGTCCTCAACAGAGTCAGATCACAGCGAGTAAGAAATACGAAGCAGCCCATTCCCATATTGAAACAGGTAAGGTCACTGGAATTTCTGCAGTTTGGGATCCTTCACATCCCCATTCCTGCAGGTGACAGAAGAGGACAGTCCACTCTGTCCCAATGGCAGGAGCAAGGGCACTCAGGGCTGGCCTGGTGCAGCTGCATGGAGGTCAAGGCCTCCCAAAGTTTAGCTGCCACCTTAGCTGTTAAAGTCTGAGACTCTTCCATGGCACTTGGTTCACAGCTATGGCCCTGAGCCCTCCTGAGTTCCCCCTTCCATGGCCCCTTTGTCCCAGCTCTTCTCCTGGAATCCAACCTCGTTGGCCAGCAACCAGAGAGGTGGTGTCTGGCATCTCGGAGGCCTCCAGAACTGCTCCATTCAGTGTGTGGCTTGTGTCTGTTCTGATAGGTCAATGTCTGCGCCTCCCTGTTGGTTAAAGATTTTGAATATCACCCAGGTTAGGGTGACTGACCTGCAGGCAGGAGGGAATGATAACAACACACATGCCTACAGGACTCCCTTGCACATCTCCCCCTTTCTTTAGCAGTAAGGCCCCTGCCCATACCAGTCCCACCCCCGTCACCACCAGTTTGGATCCTCTTCATGGGGCCAAGTTAATTATTGCTCAATGCGAGGTCATTCACTCAGGGACTACAGTCGAAGAGTTGTCATTCAGGACTCTTCTGAAGGCCCCCAGGATAGGACAATGCCCTCGTGCCAGCAGCAAGGGAACCCCTGTCCCTTACCCAATCAGCAACTCACCACTCAGACACCAGAGTGACAGAAACATACAGCTCACACCACACAACAAAGACACACACAACTCAGACCTACAACTCTCTCTCTCTCCATCCTACACACACACACACACACGTCAAGACATACAAGTCAGACACACTTACACAGACCCATAAAAAAGACCCACCATCCACCCACATGCAGCATGGAAATGCACAGCCAAGATACACGCACTCAGTGACATACAGCAAACCCACACACATGACAATAGCCACCCGCACGGAAGCCAGATGTTCACACACCCATCCCTATGCCCAAGGGCAGGGCACACAATATGGGGATACCCTCATACTGGGGCATGTTCTCCATTTTCTGTATGTCACAAGAGAAAGAAAACGGGCCCCCAATGTAAGCCGACCGATGTCTCCACATCTTCAGGGTCTACCCAGAGCCTGCTAATCCAGACCAGACTGTTCTGCTTGGCATTTGGGGCCTCAACTAACCAATCACCCCCTTTCCCCATGGTGACACCAACGTCTACCCTCCTCTCAGACAGGCCATCCCCTGTTCAACAGCTCCCCCAAGCCAGGAGGTAATCAAAGTCCCAAATATAAGCATCCTTTAAAGCCCAGAGCAGACCTTGCTGTCTTCAGCCCCCTAACCTTCCACCAGCCCTCCCAGACTCAGAGCTCAGGCCCCCAGGCCCCTCTCCCTGCCTGCCCTTGCCAGCACTTGGACACACACTGCCCATCTCACCACGCAGATGCAGGAGGGAACTCTTCCAAGAGCAGCTGCCTTGTCTCTCCAAAGGAGCCAAATCCAGGGGATTCGGGGGTTTCAGGTCATTCTTTTATGTTCCTTCACTAACCGCCCCCATTAGTGTACTGTTGCACCTCTCTGAACCTGAGGCTGAATCTTCCTGCCCCTCACCCCTTCCTTGAACAGCCACTAGAAAGTGCTCCTCTCCACTACCCACCCCAGCCTTTCCCCTCAACTTATCTAATGTTTCCATCATCTCAAGAGCTTCCCTGATTAGCACTGCCTTGCTCCTTTGCAAACTTCTTCCCTGTCCCCTTCACGTGGTTGGGGACACACTTCTGCTTCTCATCTGTATCTCCTGTCACTCCCTGTGCCCTATCCAAACTTTCTGCAAGGAAGATCAAGAGAAATCTAGCAAAACTAAAGAGAGAGTTATAATACAATAGGAAAACGGATGCTTTCTCTGTGAGACAAAAGTGGGGGACTGTGTCTCCATTAGAAGTGGGAACTGTGCCTCATCAGCCAGAGAGGGTAGAGGAGGAAACAGGCTCTGACAGTGTATGCAACTTACTCAGTGTCTGGACCGATAACTACCTGTGCCGAGATTTGAACTCAGACTTGTGTGACTGTGGAGGCCAGGCTCACCAGCACAGGCTGGCATGAGCCACGGCTAGGATCAGACTGTCTGGAGCCACCTCAGCCACTGTTTACTGACCATCTGCCCTCTCAGCCATGATCCCTGTACTCAGGCCCAGCCAGGGATGACTCACTAGGAATCAGGAGAGGGCTCAGCTTTGGGTATCATTTTATTATCGCCATTATCCCTACCTTCATTAGCCTAATCATCGACTGCTTAATAAGCAGTCAGGGTGCCTTGGCCAACACACCCTGCCTTTGGGTTTCCTAGAACCTCTGATGCCAGCAAAAAGCCAACACCTACCGTCCGTCCATCCATCCATCCATCCATTCATGCCATCATTCAACATCTCTCTTGATGACTACTTGTACCAGACTCTGTGCTGGATGCTAAGAGACTCAAAATACCAAGATTTAGCTCCTGCCTTCACTGAACATCCTGTCTGTGGCAGAGAGAGACACAGAAGTAAGTGCAACCCAGAGCAATCGGAACCATGATAGAGAGATGTTTGGAGAGAGCAGGAGCTCAGAAGAGGGAATGATTAAATCTGCTTGGAGGTGGGAAGAATGCTTCAGCCCCGTGGTCACTGCTCTGAGCTAAAGAGAATGAATAGGGGTTCGCCAGGCAACCAAGGGATGGGCATTCCACATAGAGGGAATGAGAGGTGCAAAGACACCGAGGTGACAGAGAGCAAGGGTGTTCAGCTAACTGCAAATGGCCTGGGGCAACTTGGGCCCAGAGCAGCAAGAGATGGGCCTGGAAAGGTAGACAGGCACCATGTCCCAGAACAAGGCCACAGAGAAAGGCAAGCCCAGTGAAGCTGCTGGAGGCAACAAGGCTAAGTCTCAGGGGAATCAGGGTTAACAAGGGGAAATCACTCATTCCTGGTGGGTCATTCAGGGTCATACCAAACAATAACCAGCTAACAATCCCCAGCCACACCCAACAGCACATCCCCACATCGGTGCCAGGAGTAGTCATTCAAAATCAATGGTGATTTTCTGAGTCTCCTACATATCGAGCATCAATGCAAGGTTCTGGAAATTTAGGCCCACAAATGGCAATTGTGTGGAACCCTAAGTGCATAACTTCTTGGGTCAGCTAACAGTTTTTCCAGAGCACACAGCTTGTGTGCTGTAAAACACTTATTTTTCTATTTTCAGACTTTTCAAAATATAGGTTGTTTTTTTTTTAAAGATTTTATTTATTTATTTTGACAGGCAGAGATCACAAGTAGGCAGAGAAGCAGAGAGAGAGAGAGGAGGAAGCAGGCTCCCTGCCGAGCAGAGAGCCCGATGCGGGGCTCGATCCCAGGACCCTGGAATCACGACCTGAGCCGAAGGCAGAGGCTTTAACCTACTGAGCCACCCAGGCGCCCCTCAAAATATAGTTTTAATTCAACCTTTTCTGTCTGATGAACAGAAAAGTACACAAATCATACATGTACAGCTTAATGAGTTATCACAAAATGAACACCTTGCCGTAACCACCACCCAGCTCAAGAAATAGAGCTTTAGCAACACCCCAGAAACGCTCCCCATCAACACCCTCTCCTTCCTCCTGAAATGGTATCACTATCCCCGATTTCCAACATAAGTAAGATTATTTGTCTTAAACTTTATATAAATGGAATCATATAGAGCATGAACTCTTTTGTCTTTCATTTAATGTTGTGTCAGATTCATTCAGACCTATTCATTTTCATTGCTGTAAAGTATCCCATTACATCACAGTTCATTTACCCAGGATAGTGCCGATGACCATTTGGTTAATCAAATAATATTGTTAGGATTATTCCTGCACATCTTTTGGCACACAGATGTTTCCAGATATGTTGTTATATAACAAGAACTGGAATTACCAGGTCATAGAAGTTATGCTCAATTTAAGTAGATCTTGCCAAATTTTCCAAAGTAGTTGTGTCAATTTACACTTGCCTCAGCAGATTTTAAAATCTAGATATGTATAACAATCCTATCTGCAAATACCCAGACTTTCATTAAAACAGTTTTTATTTTTTTTCCCAAATAGGTGTATATATGTGATCAACACCAAATGAACACTTGCTTTATTGCTTTTGGACATGAGTTATTTTCCCTTTTAAGATGTTTCATTAAAATTGAGTAAGAGAAAATAACATTTATAAAATATATTAAGTGTAAAGAATAACAGTACAATGAACCCTCATCATGTCCCATCAACTTTGAAGTCCTTTTCTAAATCTATCACCTCCTCCCAAAGGTAATGATTACCCTGAATTTGGGGTTAATCATTTCCTTTTCTTTATGATTTTATTATTTTTATTTATTTTTATTTTTTTAAGATTTTATTTATTTATTTGACAGAGAGAGATCACAAGTAGGCAGAAAGGCAGGCAGAGAGAGAGAGAGAGAGAGAGGGAAGCAGGCTCCCTGCTGAGCAGAGAGCCCGATGAGGGACTCGATCCCAGGACCCTGAGATCATGACCTGAGCCGAAGGCAGTGGCTTAACCCACTGAGCCACCCAGGTGC